GACTTACTATGTTATTTAGATAAAGGTTCCTGAGATCTTAACCAGATAAAACAGTTAAGTCAAAGATAAACAATGGGAAATTTATGAATAATCTATCACACAGTAAGATTTTATTAAAAATTGTTCATCAAAAGCAGAAAAGAGACACATGAAACACCTTCTCAGAAGAGAAGTTCTGCTACACAAACTATAAGCACAAACAGTATCACAGGGTCAACATTTAACCTGCATAAGAAAGTGCTTTTTAAAAGGCGCTTGTGCACAATGGCTGTGATGGCTGCTTTTAATCATAAAGGAATTTTACCTTCATTAGAGCAGGCCCAGTGGGGTCTCCACTTACAATGGTTATTTATTACAAGGAATTCCAATTTTTCCTAAAGACAAAACCAGCGATCTAGGGTTGCCACTAATTTAAATTAATGAGTTTATTGACCAGAGCAGCGTTTCCCAAAGTGTGTTCCGTGAGACTGCATTTCCATGAAGAAAAGGGTTCCAGTCCACATCAGGACAGGAGAACCTCCAAGAGGGTCCAAAGCAAAGGGGCCTGATGCACTTGGTTTAACCCACTTTCCCAACTGACCCTAGATCCTTTTTTTTTTTTTTTCCTTTCAAGGAACGTCTATGAACATTTGACCTGATTAGTGCTCCATGGTACACCGACCTGGGAAATCCCACTTATGGGGTCTGAAACCCTGGACTATACCATCCACCCATTTTCCTTTCTCATGGGAAACAGACAGGATTAGCAGATTCTATTGCCTATTGGCAACGTACAGAAGGATCTGTGTGCCCCTTCCCTTACCTGTCACAAGAGGCAAGGAAAGTCCCAGTTTAAAGTCTCCTATGTTCAGAAGTTATGTCTGCTTGCTCTTGATATCTCTTTAAAAGAATAAGGAGAGTGCTGCTTTCCAGGGCCGAATGAATAAACAGGAGAGCTGTGGCCGGATTAGCACAGCCCCTGAAATTGTTGTGAAATCCCTCCCACCCCATCCTTGGAAGGGCAGCCTGCAGGTCCATAGAGACAAGATGAGAGATGGCACTGTGGTCACCCGCCCCAGTCACTGGCGGCAAAATGCCAGTTCTACAACCCAGGGCCTCCTTCCCACAGGGGTGGAAGCAGAGCAGGTCAATCTGGGTGCTCCCTGGTGCTGCCTTTGATTGGAAATACAAGGCTCATGAAACCCCTTTCACCAGTCCCATCTCTGGGAGCCTTGACATTTATCTCACTGTGATCAAAAGGAACCCAAGCAGGAGGAGGGAGCCCACCCTTTGTCTGGCAGTAATGCACATGGGCTCCCAAGAAATGCCATAATAAAGGCAGGCGTGACTCTCAAGAACAAGACAAAAACTTCAGCCCAGTCCTGCAACCACCAGCACCCCACAGAGAACCAACGTCTGATGCGATGGCGACTTCTCAGCCATTCACAAGAAGAGGCTTCTCCAAATCAACCTGGGGGATCGGTGGGGTGTGTCACAGCTGGATCATCCCCTCACCCAAAGTAAACTTACTCCATAAGGAATTTCTTCAGAGCAAATCAAATCCACTTGAAAGCCTTAAGAAAATGCTAAACCCAAAACAACTTTATAAATCCTGAAATTACATGGCTCAGGGAAGCACTCTGAATTTCAAGACAGACTGTGCCCTTCAAGCCTCTGGTATACATACTTTTCATATTCATTTTAACCACATCAAGAAATTCCCTAAGAGATTCCATTTTCTCGGCAAGGGAGGTTACAAAAGAGAATGTGAAATGGACTCATTTTCTCAAGCAAAATGAAACACTTTTATGTTTTATTCATGCAAAGTGTAAACTCCTTTCCTTTGCAGCATTACAAATTGAATTTGCGCTTGTAAATTGCTGTAAGAAAAAAAAAAGGAATCAAGAGCAAAAGAAAGTATTAAAAGAAAAAAAAGCAGGAATACAAAGGCCTTCTTTTAGAGAATGAAAACTCAGGGGTCCAGTGGGAGAAATACAACCTTTCACTGACAAACATACTTTTTTATTTACTGTTTCTAAAAGCAATCTAGCTCAAGGGCCCCCAACCACTACATGAGCTTTCTGAGGTCCTGACAGCTCATGCAGAACCCTCAGTGTATTTCTAGATTACACTTATCTGCTAACATTGAGTAAGAATAAGAAATGGTTTAAAAAACATGAGTGGGCTTCCCTGGTGGCACAGTGGTCTAGAGTCTGCCTGCCGATGCAGGGGACACGGGTTCGTGCCCCAGTCCGGGAAGATCCCACATGCCACGGAGCGGCTGGGCCCGTGAGCCATGGCCGCTGAGCCTGTGTGTCCGGAGCCTGTGCTCCGCAACGGTAGAGGCTGCAACAGTGAGAGGCCCGCGTACCGCAAAAAAAAAAAAAAAAAAAAA